AAAAGTGAGAGCACAGTATCCTATGCCATGTGTAAAACCTCGTAGTCTTTGCATGTTGTAAGCATAACATTGCTTTATATTTGAAGAAAAATATTCACTACCTCCAAACCAAGGAACCTAGTTTCGATGTGTCACATGGTTTCATTAAAGAGCCCAAGAAGCTATTTTAGTTCAGTAATAAGATGTTTATTTATTGTTTTTACAAATTAAAGTATCAGTCATAGAAGCAGCTATTCCGAGCTATCCTAACTCCATTTGTTTCACTTCCTACACACACACACTCCTCGTTGTTTTTCTTTAAAGCCCTGACAGCCTCCAAGGGAGGCTCTTATTTGTTACCATGGAGACCCAAACTCTGAAAAGCCCAATATGAAGCTGAGAAGTCTAACTACACCCATAGTGTTCATAGGCTATTAAACCTTTGATACTACCTTGCTACCAATAATCGCACCATTTCATTCCCAGCGTTAGGTGAGAGAAGAGGAAACGTAGAGTTAGACTGTTTGAAAAGGTTTGTGCAACAGGAACAAAACATTTTTAATGTTTTAAAGGTTTCTGAAAATTGGATTTTGCCCATAGATGAGCAAGGGATCTTGTTTAGCACATCAGCATGGCTGCGATTTAAGTCAGATGTGTTCTACAGGTGAAGAATGCTAGATTAGAATACATCAGACCATCTGTATTTTTCTCTGCCACAGCGAGCAGCAGTAGGAGCAGTCCAATGAGAAACTGCACGCAATGATCAAATGTCAGAGAGACACCCTGCAACGCCTGTGGTCAACCTCTTCCAGCCTGGCTTGGTCAACCTGACTGCAACACCTGACATCGAATTCCAATATACGGTATTAATTTCTAATAATGTTTTATTTCAATAAAATATTATGTTGTAGCTGTAACTGAATTTAAAAGGATGTTAATGATTAAATCGTTGATTTATAATTTTTTGAAAATTATGCTGTTTGTATTAGTAATCAGTCAGATTTTGAAAAACAGGTTTCTTTCACTGATTAGCTCCAAGATTAGCCAACAGATAGATAAAGCTGAATTTTTAATAAAGAGATAAATATTGGGGTAGACTGACAGATGGATAGATGGACTAAGGAAGTGGAAATGGGTTAATTCTTTGACAGACTGATTTATATGAGGCGACATAAAGGAAAGAATAAAGAAGTCAAATGTTGTGGACATAAACCTGGCTATCAAATTTGATTCTGATACAGATATTAGATAATGAAACGTGAAATTAAGCATGTCAGTGAAAATACATCTAAAAAAAAGAAACTAAAGCATGTAGGAATAACTTTATAACCTTAAATAGCATAATTGTTAACTTGGTGCTGCGAGCCTCCCTTGATCACATGTTTACATAGCCACACAGCATTTCTTTCTTGTCCTTTTTATGTCTGTACCTATCAGGTTAGAGTGGAGGTAAGCGGGAAAAGAGACGCAGTGGCAGAATCAATACTGGGTCTGAATGTTTCCCTCTGTGTGTGACACTTATATTGATTTACACACAAACCAGTCAAAGGTGCAGGAACTACAGCAACATAAGGAATTAAATGGTTTGAAAAACTACCTATAGAGATGAAAAGTAACAGTTTTTTCTTCCACCATATTTAAACTTCTGCCTGTCTTCGTCTGTTGTTTTTTACTTTATTTTCCATCTCTGTTAGTGTGTGATCCCTTCCTTGGCGACAGCTGATATAAGCAAAGGCCTCCTGTGATTCCAGACGCTGACATATCAAACCCAAGTGAATCGGAAAAAGCTAAAGGAAAAAGTGACTCAGGTGTGAGTGTGTGTATTTCTTTTTTTTTTTTTAGGTATATTTATGTAAGTCCTTTGGTGACTCTAAGAGAGTTCTTTAAGGTCTCTTATTTATACAGGGTGGAGCTCACACATATAAAGGATTCGGCTAACAGATGGCCAGAGGAAATTGCATCTATGCAAAGAGGTCTGTAGCATAACTGGTTTTGCCCCCCCTCAGCTATTACCACTAAATGAGTCACAGTGTTCTTCTCTCTATGGATGCACTTGTGTGCTGTGTATATTCGGGCAACCGCATCATGCTGAATGTTAGGGGCTGCTGGGTGTTACATGTGATGAAGCAGAGGATAAGCTCTCCTTCTTGTTCCAGGATTGTTAGGCTCGCAGCTGATTCCTGTCGAATCATCTGACGCATTTAGTGCAACAGGAATGAGAAGAGCATAGATCTGAGCTGCGGTAACCTGCTGTGTGCGTCCAAGTGTGTGTGGGTGTCGGTGAAAAGTGATTTCAGTCTGAGAGCGGTTGTTGTGGCAGAATCCAGCAGGGAGACTCAAAATAAAATATAGATAAGTGAAAGTGAAACCCGAGCCACTGTAAATAGAAATTACACTTTGCTGACTTTGTGTATCAGATATAAGTACATATCAGATTTTTGTTTTACAAATGTGCAAAGAACACAAAAAAGACTCATTTAATTATCATTACTAACATGGATGAAATTTTGATTTCTGAAGTGGTGGGACGCAAGTATTTTTTTAATATAACTCTTATTTATAAGTTCAGCATGTTTTTTAGTAGATCTTCTGTTTTTCTTTCCACCACTTTCTCTTGCATCTCTGCTATCCCTCCCCTGACAAAATATATGGATGCACGACATGAACAATTGGGGTGCAACAATCCATGTAGATTAAGAACAAAGTTTTAAAATTACTATGAGCTAGAATATATAAAATTACATTCATAGATTGTTTCCTTTTTTGATGATAATAATAATAACATTAATACAGATGATTTATCAGCACTTTTAATATATATAAAAAAGTTACTTTTCAAGGTTATTGAAAGCTTTAAAATGCAGTGGAGGATCTGAAGTGGATATGGTTCTTTATGAAGCCAGTAAAGGTGCTGTACGAGGGGTGTTACACAATTCTTTGAATGTAACTCACGTTTTGATTTTTAAAGAAGCGTCTCTTTCTTCTTTCAGACAACCTGACTGTGGTTCTAATAAACAACTACAAGAATATGCACACACAAATTACACCAATTTAAAGATATAATTAATACACCTGATATTACAACCCTTCTAAATTACGTGAGCCAAGAGAAGAAAAAAGGCCAAACTTATGCTACGTTCACAACTAAAGCAGCAGAGGCAGCAGGAACAGCTAGTTTACATGCAAAGCCAATGGTTGAAGCGCATAAAGGCACAGCAAAAGGTCCTGCAGCGCATTTTGAGCAGCAGCAGCAGCGGGTCTGAGCAGCTGAAGCAGCGCGTCGTGAGCTTCTGAGCATCTGATGAGCGGAACGCGCTGCAAACGCAGCAGCTGCTGGAGTTGGAAAAATGTAACTTTTGCTGCTCGAAGCACCACATCAACCAATCAGAGAGGCTGATCTGGGAGCTGCAGGGAGAGAGACACATCGCTGATGATACACTATGATCACTCCTCTGAAACAGTTTATGAACATAAGAACATATGAGCCTATGAACATAAAATGCCAAAATCTGCCAGCAACACATGCTTTTAGTATCCTGGTGTCTGCAGCTTGGATAACGTACATGAAAAATGCCTTCCAGCCACCGCAGCAAACCACCAAGAGGCTGTTTGCGGTCTGAACATAGCGTTACAGTAGCAGAGATTCCCTCACCAAGTTTTCATCTTTTACAGAGTCCATTTTTTCTACAAGACCGGAACTCCTGGACCGTTTAAATTATCTCAAAAATCTGATGCTGCGTTCACACCTAAAGCAGCAGAGGTAGCAGACGCAACATGCAAGTCAATGGTTGACAAGAGAAAAAGACAAAGGGCTTTGATTTTATTATTCTGTTGCCTGCAGTTTGGATTATGTACATAAAAAAAAAGCCTTTCACCCGCCACAAACAGTAGCGGAAAACCGCAAAGAGGCGACAGAGCCAGAGACTGCTGTTGAACTGGGTTCCTAGTGACAGAGCTCTGCCGGTGTACGAGGGTCTGAGCTGCAAAGAAAGGATCGGGTAGCTCCACCCAATGCGCAACAGACCCGGCGCAGCTGGAGAGGCAAAGATGCTTCAGCCGTGTGTCAGAACTAAACTTGTACAAGCATCAAAAACGAAGGAGCACATGTGTTTTTGCTGCTCTTGCTGCTTGCGGTGTGAACGTAGCATGAGAAAGCCGCTGTCCCGCACCACTAGAAGAAGGGCTAGAAAGGCCTGATACTATTTTCTGCTGCTTGGCCAAGACAACACTCAGAACATTCTCCTCTACCCAAAGGCAAAGTGATGTGCCACATTCATACACCATGGTGAACCCCGACACGAGGAGGCTGAGCTGGAGGGAGATAAGAAACATGAACCCAGTCTTTCTTTTACCCCAGTTGGCTAGAAAATAGTTTAGCCTCTCTAAAGGAGTTGGGCTCTAGAGCCAAGGTAAGCCCAACTATTTCTAGCTGGTAGAAATGCTTACCATTTAACTTCCCCTGAGCTGATTTAAGTAGTTTGCTGTTCAGATTTTATTTACACATAAAGCATATGAAACGACAGCGACAGTGGCATCGGACGAAGGAGTTTGCTCTGCAACAGGAGGGTTGCCGGTTCAAGCCCCAGCTCCAGCTTTCAATGTTGTTGTGTCCTTGTGCAAGACACATCACCCACATCACCTGCTAATGGTGGTTGGAGGGTCTGGTGGAGCTAGGTGTAAGGCAGCCTCACTTCTGTCAGTGAGCCCCAGGGCAGCTGTGGCTACAACGTAATTTGCCAACATTAGTGTGTGAATGACTAAATGTAAAGTGCTTTGCTCAAGTCTCCTGATTCGAAAAAGTGCCATATACTGTACAAGTACAGTCCATTTGCCATTTAGCAATAACGTTCAATTTTTAAACATGATTGTAATCAATGTAAAAGCCACTTTGAGGAACATGCCTTTAGTTTCAAGCAAAATTTGTATTGAGGTCAGTCAGTCTTTAGAGAGATATATTTTAGTCCATATATTTTAGCATTGTGTGCATTAGCTATACGGTTTGATCTTCAAAATGTACTCACTGATCTCCAGCTGTCTCTGAATGCGGCCTTTGCAGCGCTCCCTGTAATCTGACTGGGTGGTGTTGTACTCTGACATCACCTCAACGAATTTCCGTGACAGTGTGGAGTGCTGGAGAAGCAACAATGAAAAATTATTTTCACACCATCTGCTAGATGCAATTAGGAAAAAAAATGATTTTAGATAAACAGAAGTGACGTTTGGTAAAGCAACTAAGGGCATCTATGGACCATCTGGATGTGACCTACCAGCTTATTGATAATTTTTTTTTTTTTTACTGAAGGTAAAGAATATAAGCAAGCTTAAAGCAGCTTACAAAAGGAAAAAAAAAACAATCCAGCTTCCAAATGCTGTTTGCTTGATTCTTTCATCCTGAAAATCATGGAGCTGAAAGAAGTCTTGTTGCATTTGCTTGAACTGCACCTGTGTTTTTCGTATCCTTAGGTCAGCTGAAGATCTGTTCTGCCCCTCTTCTTGCTCAATAGTTTGCTGAATACCTAAAAAAAGAGAAAAGTGAAGTATTCATCAGAAACTGAATGTGAGCTCAAACAGTGTCATAAGGAAAACAAGAAAAACACTGCATGCCTCACAAGATGCTGAAGCTCATAATTTACAGAAGGGTAATCTAACATTAAGTAACTAATGATGGCAAGATATGGTGATGTATATGAGAAAGAAAACAAATATGTTCAATAAAGACTTTAAATATAGATGAAAAGATAACACAGAGTGCTTAACATGGTGGTTTTGTGTATCAACTGTTTCTGAAAGTAGTCCTTTAATAAATCAACCAAGTTTATTAAAAATAGTATGTTATGATGCAGAGGTTTTAGAATTTAAACTGTAAAACAAAAGAAAATCCAGACTTTGATTATAAGCTCCTTTCCTGCTTTTCTTGCTGGAGCTAAAATTCATTATCAACATCACTTTAGTTTAACCACAGATTCGTGAGGACAGCAGAGAGGATCATCAGGGCACCTCTTCCCTCCATTATGGACATTTCAAAACAGAGCTGCGTGTGCCGAGTCCGTAACATCATCAGTGACCCCTCAAACCCCCACTGTTCTCCCCTCGGAAGACGAATCCCAGCATCCGCTGCAGGTCCAGCAGGTTCTGCAACAGCTTTTTTCCCCTCTGCCATCAGACAGTCTAACTGCGGAACTCTAAACTGGACTCTGCATCACGCAACATTTGCACTGCTAATGTTTCTGGACTTTTATAATCCTTGTAAATAGGACAAAATGCAACATTCTACTGCATTTTGCACCATATTTATTTTTGCAATGCACTAACTTTGTCATATTAATTGTCATAAACTGGGACAGATGGACACAGTATTCAAGGGGAGACAGTCAGCAGGAAAGTTCAAAACGTTAATAAAAAAATAACAAAACAAAACAAAAGCACAGAGCTGTGGAGCTGCTGACTGCAGCAGCTGAAGCGGGCGGGGCGCAACCCATCACTGACTATCTCTGGTTTAGCAGTACAGTCCATCTCCTTTAGAGCGAGGTAAGATCCAGTCAATGGACAGCCAAATTGATGCGGTGCGGAGCCGCCCAGAGTGTTCCCGATGCAGAAGCCTCTGTGCAACCAGTGCAAGACCAAGCCAGGTCCGGGGAACAGTTCAGAACAAGCAAAGTTCTGAGGTCCAGAAGTCCTCAGCTCGATCAGGGGTTCCGATCCATACAGGAACAGACAGAAACAGGGTTCCAGGTAGAGCCCTGCACTCGCGGGACCCAACGCAAAGCCGTGCGGCGCAGGAAAAATATTGAAAGCTCATTGCGGGTGCGGGCGGGAGGGAGAGTGCACAGTGTGGGTACGGGCGGGAGCGGTCCCGGGAAATAAAAACATGTTTTAAAATTTAAAAATAAAATCATCATAGTGTGCTGGCCTTGATAGCTTGGCTGAGCCAAATATAAAGCAGTACCAGCAGGTGAATGAGATCATTGATAATTAGGAGCTGGGCAGAATAAAGCTGGGGAATGACATGAACAATGAAGGCCAGCTATCAGGTTAAATCCTGACAATTAATAACTTTTTGCACCATTATTTAAAACGGGTTTCTTTTCCTCCTACATTGTTACATTCTGATCACTGCTGCATTTTATATTGGTAATGTTTATCTTACTCCAACTACAATATCAGTACACTGTTGTAAGCTGTATGCAAAGGCATTTTTTCTTTGTATACACTCTCTGCATATAAAATGACAATAAAGTTTTTCTAAGTCTAATTTCCATTGAAGGCCTTGCTTTAGTACCATTCATAATGACAGATGTGCACGTATAATGTTAGCCCCAGCTAATGGGAAGCACAAGCCTTATTAGAAAATCCATAAAACTTATGGAATTTGGCAACTTTCCCATATCCAAAAGATAGTTGTATTTTAATGAGAATAAAAACTGTTCCTGACTTTTGCAAAAACTGAACTGCATCAATGTTCTCCCTGATGGCACTTATACTAAATGTGTGTGACTGCATGTCTGCATGTTTCACATATACACAATAAGACATGAGCTAATTATCTTCAGTTTCTCTGCACTTAAGTAGTTCTACTTCTACTTGAGATGCAATAAAAAGCAAATTAGTCTTTTCTTAAGAGTGGTGATGGACAAGGATCACAGTACCAGAGAAATATGCAAAAATGCAGAATAAAAGACCAAGAACCATACAGTTCACTTCAACTGCTGTGCAGTTTATTTCTTAAAACACTTTATCAAAAAAGGTCAATTAACCAAATCCTACTGCCTCCAAATCAAGCACATACACTCCAGTTGATACCAACTATAAAACCATGCGGTAAAACCTAGGTCACAACTCAAACGATCAAGATCCAAGGAAACCCAGCAGATCACATAAAGCCACACACCATCTATGCACCATGTACCTCAGCATTCACTAATCCTTCTTGGTTAAACTGCTGTCGCTCTTAAAGCTTATATTTTGTGCCAAAACTAACAGGGGACAGTGGAATAATTGGCATTAAGGACAATTGATGTCTATGACTAAATTTACTTGAATTCCCTGGTATTCTAAGAGAAAAGCAGTAGTAGTCTGCATTTTGCTTCATCTTATACATCTATCACCATAATTCTACTGCATATATTCTCGAAAAAATGAAAACATCTTGCTTAAAACCTACAGGACTGCTTAATTTAACCTCTTCTTTTACCTTTAAAATTAAAATAATGGTCAAATTCTGGCTCTTCACCCCTGGAAGCAAAAGCTGCAGATCCCAGGTTTAGGTGGAAAAAACAAAACAAAAACATTAACATAATTTCTTTTTTACCTGAACCTAACTTTGTACTTTATCTTGTTTAGAGTAATCTTGCACATTGACAGCAACATTAGACAAACAGCAGTATTAATAAATATGATAACCATGGCGAATGAACCTCATCTTCCTGCTTCTGCAGAATAAAATCAACATGAATAAACAAAACTGTGAGCTGCCAGAACATCATTGTCTCCTCTCTCTTGGTAATATTCCAGGATCATCATCATAAAAAAAAAAAAACTGTATGCTTTAACATAGGCAAATATATAATTTTACAAACTAGATGAGAGAAGCTTATTTCTTTTTGCATTATTTTATTAATTATTGAATAATGTTTAACACAATAGCAAGACCAATGTCTTTTACCCCCAGGTTCATAGTTTTGGACCGACACTTGTTGATAGATGAAAACAACTACTTACTCTTTAATTTAGAGCGTATTTTGTTGGCCAGCTTCTTGATGTCTGCCATTAAATCCTCTAGCTCGGCTTTGGTCTCTAAAAAGAAAGCAGTTTGAAAAAGACACAAGCAGAGACATTAGAAGAAATATTAAATCCACACACACACAAACATCCTTGTACTGGCATCAGTTTCAGAGACGTAATCGATAGAGACGCATGGAAAATTGTCTCTCCCAGCAAAGTTCAACAACTGATCAACTTCAGCTTGTTTTTCAGCTTTCTTTACTTGGCCTACCAGTGATCCTCTCCTCTCGTTCCAATAGCTTAACAAGATCACATGATACAGGACATTATTTAAAAAAAACAACCAAAAAACAGAGAGGGAAAATTAGAGACAACATGGCTTAACCTAATCAGGTAAATAAATAAATAAATAAATCTTCTCTATCAATATATGCCACATAAAACTATAAAGATCAAAGCTGAAACATATCAATTATTGTTATATCATTATAATATAGCTTGTTATTTTAGTTCTTTAAAAAAAACGACTTTGATGAACTAGTTTAAATAATGAAATTACTAATTTTTAAATAGACGATTGGCTTTCCATCTCTAATAACTATTACTGACCTCTAAAATGTTTTTAAAAGGCACAGGATTTTTGCCTGCAAATTTAAATACATGAAAGTCATATTTTTGCTATTTGCATATATACAATAGGTTGCCGTAAGCATCTATTATTTGAAACCAACGAATAAGAAACAAAATATTACGTTTGATTAAGTAGAATGGATGTTGTGGCTAGCTAATGTTTACCCAGTAAGCCTGCTATCATCTACTTAATGTAATACTGATTACAGGTTGCCACTTTCATTTCACCAAGTCACACAATGAAAGAAAACACTACTAAAGCAAAGATTTGGTCATATGAATGCTTACCGTTTTCTCTGATACATACACAGAGGAAAAATTGCACTTCATAAAGGACAAACAATAGCTAGGATGATCCCAGCAACTCAAAGCCGAAAGAAGATTGTCCACTATAACTTTAACTCAGTCAACCTCTCCATAAGCTATGACCATCACTCTACTGCAAGATGCTGCCACAACCACATTTACTCATGATGGTCAATTCGTAATAGCTTGCAATGAAGGCCTAAAATTATAGCCGGACGTCTAATGTTTTATTTAAATCTGGTGGCGGCAGGGTGACGTTACTGTGGGTCTCAGAGGTTGTGAATGGAAATCCTCGGCTTAAGGTTAAGATCTTATTAAAACGAACCGTAGAAGTTTACACGAAATGTTGATCAGGGAAACAGAAACTGTTGAAGCAGAAACCAGTATCTGAGGTTCAGGCCTGAGTCAGTGGTTGGGGCACATAGATGATGTTAAGTACAGGGAGGCACATTCAGGCAGAGATCCAGTGGTTAGACGGGAGGCGGCAGTAAGGAAGCAGAAACAAGATTAATGTCCAGAGATCAGTAGCCAAGGAAATATTCAACATGGGCATTCAACAGGGAAATCCAGGAGCCATGAAGGTAGGCAATGGATGAACGCTGGACATTCACTCACACGTGGCTTTTAATAATCTGGTACTGTTTGTCAGCCACAGAGCAGTAAATAAATTCAGGTAAACGGGGTAACATTTTCAGACCAACTGCAAGGAATATTGTTTTACAAGTGAACCCTTCTTAAACCAACTTCTGTGGTGTGTCTGTGTACTTGTCTTTATAAACAAACCTCTAAGGCCTTCACAAAACAGGTGGATCTATTGTGACAAAAAAAATCAAATGCAGATGGATTTTATTCTAGTTTAACTAGTCTACTTCTGAAGGTAGTTCAGTTAAAACGATTTGTTTAGTCATGTCAAATAAAATGGGACAGAATTGAATTACATGTAAAGATTTACTTGATTTCAGATTTTTATTGGTTATAAAATTTAATAGTATTTCCTTTTCTCTTTCATCAATGCGCTACTTTCTGCCAGTCTATGACATAAAATGTAAGCAAATTACTTTTTTACATTTTTAGAGATTTGTGGTCTAAAAGGCAAGAATTAATAAGACTGAATTCTTTTTCTAAACCTCTGTAAAAGTAGTAGCCCTTCAGCTTTAATTATCAGTTTCAGACTTCACACTGAAAACCTAATTTATCAACTAAATGTCACACAGTATCCAAATCCTTATTAGGTGGCACCAGGGAGACAGAACACAGAAACCATGGCCTTATAAGTTACTCCAGTCAATCTATTCCGCCACAGTTAAGTGCCTACAGTTCTTTATAATGAGTTTATTCATGCATATTTCCCTGCTTCTTTAAGGCTGTATAAATCACAGAGATAAATTAGAGGCAGCAGTAGCCCTGTTGAACCAAAACTCTCTCCAAACATCTGAACCCAATTACAGACAGCCTCAGTGGATAATTTGATTACACAGAAGGAGACTTCAGTCCCTGGCATGCTATCAATTATCAAAACATATTTGCACATATTTTTCAATAACAAAGAGGCTTAAAATGTGAGGTGAGCACATCATCTTCTTCATTTCACATTTCAAATCTGCATTATGTAAATTGTTTTAATACCAGTTTTGATACATAAAACTTGTAAAAAAAAACAAACAAAAAAAACAAATCAGCAAAACACATTCACACACCCATGTTGTGTTTAGAATTAAAACATCAAAACAGCTATTATGCAACATATTGTATCCCCAAAACTTAATGGACTATTCATGTAGTCTCTCTCAATGACAGCTCCTGGGTCAGCTTCTCTGACTGGTTGACACTCAGCATCCACCTGCAAAGTTCAGATTTATCCTAATCCAGCTGCCGTCACTGATTGTTCAAAACGCACGGCTCTAGGACCTGTAAATCCTGCAAGACTCGCTGGTTCCTAAACTCATATCACATTACTGACCTCTTGGCCTGCCTTGAACCCTTTTCCCAAATACTTTGCATGTAAACCATATGTGCTGATGGTCAAAACACTTTTGGTGTGCATGCACCGTTAGGCTCCTGGTGAACATAGGGACCCCTTTTCCTCATTCTCCTACATTCTACTACCAGTCTTTGATTTTGCAAGATATGATAGTTCATCTTTTCACTTCATGTTTTCTTTGCTTTTTCACTTCATAGTAGCTAAATCTGCCCTGGTACTCTGTTTATTTGTGACACCATTCTGTAGGAAGCCATTAGTCAGGCTGGTGCTGTCTAACACAATGTTGTACATTATATAGTTTGTCCAGTTATCAGTGTTTAGTCCTGTTGGTCTCCTAGATAAAGCAATGGGCGCAGCTTTTTCTACAATGTGTAATTACCTATGGAGCTAATTTATCATTGTTATCTCTAATATTGAACATATTCCTGGGTTGGTTCCTTTTGTGGATCCTCGGTCTTTTCAAAGCTCCCGTCAATCATGTCAGATGCCTGTTTGAAAAGAGCCTGGTTCTGGTTCTGCTGGGGATTACTTCCTGTTATAAAGGAGTGCATTTCTTTCACTACATGATTGCTTGGTTTGAACGATAGATGTAAAGTCAACAACCCAATGCAATGACCACTCTCGCTATGTGCCCCTTCAGGAAAAGTGAATTCTGAAAAATCATTCACTCAGTGCATTCAGCTGGGTCTCTTTACTCTAATCCTCAAACTGATCCATCCAAACACATGCTCTGATCCTGTAATTCAGATCAAGGCAAAATGGAAATATGACATCCCTGCATAAGTTAGAGAGTTTTGTATTATGAATAAGGTAGAAGTTTTTTGTACTCACTTTCATTCAGTTCACCTCTCGTTCACCCCCTCCACATTTTTAAAGAAAAACTAACAATTCTCCAAAGCTGTACTTCTGGAAAAATATGATATTTATAAATGCTGTGACTAAAAAGGCATGCCTAGAGCGGTGTTTTTCAACCCTGGTCCTCAAGGCACACTGCCCTGCATGTTTTAGATGTTTCCCAGCTTTCACACACCTGGTAACAATTGATAGCAGATTATCAGGCTTTGCTGAACTGCAATCATCTGAATCAGGTGTGCTGAAGCTTGGAAACATCCAAAACATGCAGAGCAGTGTGCCTTGAGGATCAGGGTTGAAAAACACCGGCCTAGAGGACTGAGGTGTTTAAGATCAAATAACAAGCATCAAACATCAAATGGCAAGCAAGAGCAACTACCCCCTGACATCACATTTCTGCAACAGAAATTATTTGAGCTGCTGATTTCCTCAACGCGACAGATGGACCCAGTATTCAAGGCAAGTCAGACAATGGGAAGATTCAAAATGTTTAAAGACAGAAATTAAAACATAACAGAAATGCAGGCTGCTGAGGATAATCAAACTACAGCAGCTGCAGGGGGCGGGCTGCAACCCATCACTGGCGTTCTGAATATAAGAGAAACACAGGTAAGTGATCACAATCATCTGACAGGAGATGATTATCAGAGTGAGTGCCACCCAGAGTTTCCCAGATGCTGCAGAGGTTCCAGCCCTAACAGGAACAGAGGGATCCAAGCTTCCAGGAATCCTCAGAGTGTAAACGCAGGTTCGGATGTAGACGGGTCCAGACGTGTGCCCGGACAGACACGCACAGATGAAGACTGGCATGCTCAATGGTAGAGAAGAACATAGACTAGACATGGTTCCAGGATAAATGCCGAACTTTGAACTGGTCTCTTCCTAGGAGCCAGGCGTACAGGAATTAAAACTGTCCTGTCCACGTTCTGAGCCAACACCCTGAGAGCTCCACGGGGAAGGACCAGAACCCGCGCTCCTCCCACATGCCGAGCCAAAACCCTGAGGGCTCACCGGAGAAGAGCCAGGACACAACCAGGAGACAAACATTAAACCCTCTCAATCCACTGCCTTTCCGGAGTCAGTCAGAAGATGAGAATGACACTGATAGGCGAGAAACACCGGTCTTCAGTTGAAGCCACGTTATGTGGCCAGTTATGTGGGGAGGGCTATCTTAGGACAAGGTTTATAGCCCTTTGTCCTGGCTTGTCTGTACCTTGTAGCCTGGTCTCCTGATGACATCTGTCTGTCATCATTTATCTGCTTCCAATTTAAAGGACACCCTAAATGCTTTAAGCCTCCAAGC